AGACATGATGGAGCCATTGCCCTCTTAATTTCTTCTCTGGGCCTTCTCCAACCTGTTGCCCACTGGCAGTGCTGAAAGCCCATGCTGGCTGGGAGTTTTGGGAGGCGCAGTCTATGGGCCCAGCTTGGCGCAAAGGGTCTTAAGGTTTCTTCACTTTATGAGTTTAAGAAAATGCATGTTTCTGGGGTTTTGTGTTGGCTGGGAAGGCTCTTGTTTAATTGCGCTCACCCCACCCCAACTCCTTCTCTGGGGTCTTCCAGATTCATCCAGAACAGCTTAGCCTGTGTTTTGCAGAGCAACTGCTTCAGTGCCAAGCCATCTCCCGCTTTCCTTTTCTTCTTTGTTAGTTTCTCTCCTATGAGTCATCCTTCAAAAGCATGAGCAAGCAGTGGAGACAACATGTAAACTGCCGCCTTTGAAGACCTGTTCACGTGACTTAATTTGGTTATGTGGGGAAGGTTAGGCTGAGAGCAGGGGTGTCCGCAGGACATGGTCAAAAAAGTGAAGATGGTGGCCGTGATGGTACGATCATCCATTAAGCACGGCCAGTGGGGAGATCTTTAAAGACTTCCTCTCCTCCTTGGGATTCTCTGAGTGCTGCAAGTTTCCAGCTGCAGGAGAGAGGAGAGATGAACCTCGGGGTGAAGCAGTGGAGCCATCCTGGAAGGTTTACAGGGGTGTCCACAAGATATAGTCAAGATGGTGGACTGCAACAGTGTGATGGAAGCTTTTATGGACTTTGGACATAAAAAAACAGAGCTTCAATCACACCATGGTGGCCACCATCTTCCATTTTTTGACCATGTCCTGCAGACACCACTGGCTGAGAGAGCATCCAGGCCTTAAATCTGGATCTCTGCATTAAGATCTCTCTTAATCTGCCCTTCTAACCACTATGTCTTACTGCTGGGTGGGACATTTTTGGTGGCCCGTGCCCACGCTCAACCTTTTCAGTGGGGCTGAGGGTCACAAAGTGGGTGGGATCACACCACAGTATGAGTGAGGCTGAATCGGGGAGAGAATTGGGGGGCTGTTTTCTCTCATTGTGATCTATTTGCATCTTGTTTCCATCCCTTTTCCTGCGTGGGGCTGGTGAGTTCAGGTTTCAGCAGTCATGAGTAGGGGATGGCTGAGTTGCAGTAAGAGACGTTGGGGCTCCACCTGGCTCTGGGCCCATAAATGGCCTGCTGTACCTTACTGGCTGTGTCTATCAGGCAGAAGTAGAGCAGAGGTCCCACTGCAGTAGTGAGAAAAGCTTTGTCTGCTCAAGTGTTGTGAAGTGTTGTGCCTAAGCAGGAGAATGGCAAGTTCATGCCTTGTACTGCTATGCTGTACATTTTGTTAAAGGTCCTTGGGCCAATCTCCTCTTCTTTGTTTTGGAGATGTGTAAAGAATGCATACGCGTGAACATAGTAAAACGCTCACTGCAAATCTGCCTTTTCACCTACTGGCCCTGGTGCGGCTGAACCAGGACTATGAAAATAGCATATTATGGAACAATTGCAAGCAGTCGTTGCGTAACTGTAACTTAAAGTAGAAATGCTTCCTTGGCTCTTGAAATCCATGCAGGGCAGGCGTGCTGCTTCAGCATCACAGAAGAAGAATATGACCAGCCAGAAAAGATGCTTTAAGAGCATGTAATCCTACCTATGGCTGCCATATCTGGTCTGCAAAAATCCAGATCGCAGCCAAAACATATAAAAAAACTCGCTTGTTGCTGGCAGAAGCCCCATCCAGCAGGACAGGAGTAAGACCTGCGTGGCATGGTCTTACAATGTTAGATGAGGACTGGGAACACCAGATTCAACATCCCACTTGTCAAGAAGTCCCTTGGGTAGCATGGGGTCATCAATACCTGGTGGCCCTTGGGTAGCTACCAAGTCTGAATTCCTGCCTTAGATTCCTATTTCATTTGAATCCGGTATCTTGCATTCCAAGTGGCACCAGGTTGTGGAAACCCTGAGACAGCTCTGTATTTTCCTATAGGAACTATTAAAGAGTGGGCATGATCCAGTTTTTGGTTGTATGGTGAAAAGGAAGTGAACCATTAGGAACTCCTCCATCCAATCACTCCGTACTTCTCAACAGAACCTACTTTATAGGGCGGTTAATTCAACTTTAGCATTTGCCACCCACTGCTTTTTGGAGAACATCCAATGTTGATAAGCCGTTCAGACCAACTGCAGCCTAATCCAGAAAAATCTGCACCCTTGATGTAGAATAATGGGGAATTCAAAGTCCTTTGGCTGTTCTTTCCCCACCTTCTATTTGACTTTTTGGAAGCTCTGAAATGGTTAACTTACTCTTAACTTATTTTTGCACAAAGCCCATCTTTATTTTAACCCAAAGCTTTATCGCTTTTTCTACTTTGGTTTCTGGCTAAGTGACTCATTCATCAGTCACGCTCCCACCCCTCTCTTTCCCAGTTGGTCCCACCAACTTTAAATTAAATTGTAGTGACTGAATATTTGTCCTGGGATGAAAGATCAAATTTCTTCTCAGCCTATTGTCTCCGAGTCAAGGATCCTTTGCAGAGATTTAGGCAGCAGAATGGCATTTTAGCTGCCATTTTTGAGTGGGACCTGTTGCAGATGTTCAGTTTAAAAATTCCTGGTCTCCAGTCCTGTATGCATGGAACTCATTGGGTCTGGGTAAACATCTGCAGAATAATTGCACAGAATGTCAACGCTGTAAGACTGGCTTCCTTTATGAATTGGAATGAGCAATGTTTTTGGGCCAGTGCCATCTGTAAAATTTTGAGAGCCTGTTGTGGTTGCCTTCCCAAAACAGCTGCTATTGGAAACATGGCCAGTCACTAAATGCTCTTTTCCAATGCTGAGGCTTCTTGCTGATGTTTCTTCTAACTTCCAGTGTCTCTATCACCCAGTGTGGCCTTTGTTCTTCCAAATAACATCCTGGACTGCAATGACCCGCTATTTTTATTACCTAAGAATATCTGTGTGGCCCAAATGTCACATCTTTACTTTTGAAAATAAAGATGATTCTGAAGTTCAACTCTTCTTTCTAACTCCTGTCTCTCTCAGTATTAAAAGAAGATAAAAAAATAAAAATGAGATGGGCCAAGGAAGCTGGTGAATTCCAAGGCTGAGATCTGTAGATGTTCTCCAGCTCCCAGGTGTCTCCCCCAAATTATGGGGGATGGCTACGGATGATGGGAGTTGAGGTCCAACACATCTTGGGGAAGTCTTTCCTAGTGCATATCGATCCAATATCTCACTAGTAACCTAACTGCCAATTAGAGCACAAGTTTGCCAGTTATCTGGGATTTGAAAATGATGCTGCAAACGAGACGGCACTCAAATCAGAAGCAATTTAGGGAGTCTTTTCTGGGAGGTTGGGAATGGAATCTTGAATGGACCTTGCTGGAATCTGTATTTCTTTATCATGCATTTGTACAGCACCATGGGCCTGATGTTCCATAGCACAGGGTTCCTCAACCTCAGCAACTTTAAGAGGGGTGGACTTCAACTCCCAGAATTCCCCAGCCAGGCTGGGGAATTCTGGGAGTTGAAGTCCATCCCTCTTAAAGTTGCTGAAGTTGAGGAACCCTGCCATAGCAGGAGTCTCTTTCCAGAACACTATGTATGCATGAGAATGTTTGTCCCATCCTTCATTCATCTCTAAGCTATAAACTATACATACTTTTGAAATCTGAGAATGTGGAGAATTGCATACCAAATGTGAGAGTATTGTCTATTTTCTGGTCTCTGCAAAATAGATCAACATTTCTGCCTTCAACAGGATACAAGAGAACATTCGGCCAATTTTTCTGCTTTTAGTCAATTCTTCAAAAGTGATCTTTGATTAATTAACTCATTGGCCACTCCCTGGTTTTCAGATAGGATCCATGGTCCTCTTCATGGTTTTGCTAATTAGCAATACTTGAAGGTTCTCCTTCCTTATGTTTTAATTAATTCTGTCTCTTGCCATTTTTCCACAGCATGTAGGTTTTAGGCTTGAGATAAATAGACATATACAGTACCCCCCACACCAACATATGAATAAAATGAATGAAACTATCCAAATCCAACCCAAGAACCCTACAGCCCTGTCTGCATTTGATAAATACAGTTATAAATAGAGCGGTCTTTTTGTGCTTTTTGGAAATCCACAAGCTCCAGCCATGGAGGACCACCAAACGATGCAGGAATGTTTTAGTTGAGATGGGGGTCCAAACGCTGTTGTGAGTCTGAAAGGTGATAGAGTGGCAATCTTAGGGTACAGGGCTGAACATTTGGAGCTCTTCTTCTAATTTTTGGAATTCTGTGTGGTTCTTATAGGGCAAAATAGGTAAATTAAGCATCTTCTTTGGCACTCTTTGGCATCTATAAAATTCAAAAGATATGTTTACACCATATACTTAACCAGGACAGTTGAAGAGTTAGTGGCTGCATTTGCACAATGTGCAAAGGTGGGTTAATGTTAACCTTGGTTAGCTTTCTGTGTCTCAGCATGCTTTATGAACCTAGCCTGTTTGATTAATTTACAGGCTGAAGTATTATGTGAATCTAGAAAAAGAGATTAAGTCAGTAACCAGGTTAATTGTGTTGTGCAAACCCAGTCAAGAAATTTGAAAGCCAGAAATTAGAGTGGTTTTTACTGAATTTCAGCCGCTGGTTCTGGGGAATACCAAAATGAGGTTGTGAGCCATCCACAGAGCATCGCTTGGCCATACCTTGGTATGCGCCATGCAAAACTGTAGGAAGATTTCCGCAGAAGATGATTTTCAGATCAGGAAAACTAAGGATGAGGAAAGATAAACCCTGCCCTGGGCAAAGGTCACTTGGCAACTACTGCAGTGACATGAAGATGGTGGGACAGTCAAAATTCACCCCCCACCCCTCCAAGACTGGAAAGGCTTTAGCTTTGAGGGCTGACTTAAAGGTCCTGGAAGTCTGTTGTGGCTGGGAGGCAGGGAGTGAGTCAAGGAAGTGAAGCCCCCGTGACCAAGACAAACAGAACGCCAAAACCACAACTCCATTTTTTGGGTCAAGGAAGCTACTTTCAGCACTCAGTCAGAGGGAGGGACCAGAAAGGAAACAGCAAGTCTAGGCAACACTATGGGATGGAGGTAAGCCGCGTGAGCAGATCAGTCTGGCCGCCTTACGTTAGCTGTCAGTGGTGCTGTCCTGCAGCTGCTGTTGCTGCAAGGTCTTCAGCTGACTAAGGGCAAATCCACCCCACCATCTGTTCCGGGGGTGCCTCTGCCAGAAGCGGCTGATGTCGGTTTGCGTGCGCCACCCCGCCTCCTCCAAGCGAAGCTCTGAGACGGTTGCATTACATCCGCGCTAGCCGCATTGCCTCCCTACAGTCTTCTCTCCCCTTGGTTGTCTTCTAGGTGTGAGCTTGCTTGCTGAAGGGGAATAAAATGAGCCTCAGACGGACATTTCTCTTCCTTTCGCTGGTGGGAGCAATCGCCACGCTTCAATGCACGGTAAGAGGCCAGCCTGCCAATCAGCGTGTTCGTCTCCGGCCTTTCTGGGCAGCCCGGGAGTGTTTTTCTGTGGCTTTTCTCGGGCTCATCAGAAAACAGATGGGGCTGGTATCCTAGCCTTGGCTCTAGCCGTATTATTTATCAAAAGGATATTCACTTGGCTCTCAGACCAAAAAGGCTCACTGCCAGGTTGTCAAAGCTGAGAAGCAAGACCGTTTCTGCAGGCAGGCTTAGACGTTTGAAAAACACAGAAGGAGGAGAGATGGGAGAATGTTCTAGTTCAGCAAAGCTCTGAGCTGGACCCATCCCCAATGGCTTTCTGGAGAGGAAAGCTGTTTTTCAAGGTCAGGTTGAAACCTGCAGGTTGGAATGAAATGTTTCTGCCGCTTTTCACCCTTATTTATTTGTTTATTAATCAAATTTATACGGCCGCCCATCTCACAAAAAGTGACTTATTAGCACTTCTACTGTTCGATTCAAATCCTTCCTTCGTCCCTTTTTCATTCACTAGTTGGATCTATAACCGGCAGCGTTCAAGGCGAGGGATGGTGAAGGTGGTATCCATGATGTCACCATGCAAGCTCCTGTCCCTTTTGAACATCTGTACAAAGGGCACAGCTTGCCCTGGAGCATCGTGTCCACCATCTTGCCCGTTGTGACACACATGGCTGGCCATGGACACCACTGTTTATAAACCACCATTCTTCCAAGGACTCAAGTAGGTTGGGCTAAGAGTAACTGGCCCAAATTTTCCATAGCTAAAGCTAGACTGGAACCTGAGCCTCCCCAGGGCCAGTCTAATTCCTTCCCCACCGCACCAAACTCTCATCTCTCTGGGGAAGCCCTGCTCATTCCTCCCCACCTTCAGGTTTATGACGTGGGGCCTTGATTTTTAAGGATGTCACAAAATGTTGGAGCAAACATGTTAACTCTTATCCGGGCAGAGCAGGAGAGGAGAAGGCAGGGAGCGAAAGCAAAGTCTTCTCTTGGCTTCCGCATCTGGAGCACTTCTACAGAGGAGGGGCGTGTTACGTCTGTGGCAGCAGCTCTGTGGGCTTTGTAGTGTGAGGAACTAACTGCTTTTAACTTAGCAGAACAAAACTGGGAAGATTGTGCCAGAAAATAACTCTTGAAAGTATGCAATAATACCTATATCCAAAGTGCTCGAGCCGAGGCCCACCAACTGCAGTCAACACCCTGTGTGTAACTCCTTCCAAAAAGTTGTCACTGAACTGGAATGTTTATAATTATAAATTTGGAATTTTAACAAAAAATGAAATCAAACTTAGATTTTGCCCTGTCCCCATCTAGGTTTTGGATTGGGAGCCCAGCCAAGTACGTGTGGTGTACAATTATTTTTTTAGAATTTTTTATCCCACCTTTCTTATTTTTACAAATAACTCAAGGTGGCAAACATACCGAATCCTCCTTCCTCCTCCTATTTTGCTCATAACAACAACCCTGTGAGGTGGGCTGGGCTGAGAGAGAGGGACTGGCCCAAAGTCAGCCGGCTTTCATGCCTCAGGCAGGATTAGAACTCATCGTCTCCTGGTTTCTGGCCTGGTTTATATCTATACTGCATGTGCCTCTGTGTGTCAGCTGAAATGACATCTGAAGGGAGTTCTAGTCCATTACAATAGATGCATGTTGTTCTGTTGGTTTTACAAAATGAGCTTAAATTGCTTCAGCTTCTTTTTAACCATGCCAGCGTTTCAAACAACTAAGAAGTGGCTTGAGAAACCACTTTGGAACAGCAAAATAAGTCAACTTGGCTGACCTTGGCTGCTATCAGAGGCTAAAGAGGATCAGCCTTGGTTTGTATTCACCTGCATGTTCCAGAATCGGTGGGCCGGGTTGAGAAGCTGAGAAGAATCCCAGGCGGATGTGAAGCATTTCCATCATGCTGTCAAGAAACTGGTTGCCAGGAGAAGCTCAACTCAAGGGTCTCTTTGTTTTTGAAAGGAACAATCCCCACTTTCCTAAATCTTGGGATCTAGTCAACCTTCTGTTCTCGATAGTATGTTTTTGTTGTTCTTTTTCAAAGCAACCTCTTTTCCTCTTCCAGGAACTTCCTGTACGCGTTAAGCGAAGTGGCCGGGAAGGTCAGCTAAGAATAGGTAAGGAGCCTGTTTGGAGCAGATGGGAAGGAACGTGGGTGAGTGGGTCTTATGAGGGTAATGATTTTAAAGCCAGTCGGTTTTTGTAATTTTAGTACAGAATTTAAATTCCCAGGACTCTGCCAGAAATCTTTCAGTCTAGAAGGCAGAGGAGAGTCCTGTCCCGGGCTTAATCTCTTTGGGAATGGTCGGGCTCCTAATCACATGAATGCAGTTTGTTGGTTTGGCATCCGATGACCTATCAAAGGTAATCAAATCCAGGATTCAAGTAACGTGACCCAAATCTTGTGTATATCCAGAAGATATACCAAGCGTGCCCCAATCTGTGGTTCAAAAACTGTAACCAAAACCTTACCCAAACATAAAAAGTTGCCACCTACCTGATTTATTTAGCATTCATTAATTTTTATATGTGCATGCCCCATTATATTTCCCCCTGGAACTCCTGATGGCACATGTGGGGTCTCCCCTAATTTTATCCCCACCATAATCATCGCATGAAGTTGGAGTGAGAGATTGTGACTGGCCCCAAGTCACCCCCCTAAACACCTATCCAGTGGGAAGCACGTTTGAACGCTCCTGCCCTGGTCTAATATCTTAACTACTGTACTACACCAGTTTACACTGGGGCTCAGGCATTGGAAAATAGGATTTTGGAAATGGAAAAAGTTGGAATTTTAATGGACACGGGCTGGGGAAGTAGGGAGAAGGTGGGTGACAGTGCATCCCCTCGGGGCAGGGCCGACTGATGTGCCCGAAGAATCAATATTGGGGGGGTTGGTGCCTTTGCAAATATCTGCAGATCCTGCGAACAGCAAGCCCGCGTGGATCCTCCAAAACCGCAGTAGCCGCCTGGTCCCTTCTCCGCAGGGATTCTGCAAGATCCTTGGGAAGATTCTTAAGGCTCCTCTGGAGCGCCAGGGAGGTTGCGCGTTTCCAAAAAGAGGGCTGGGGGATTCGCCAGGCTTTGTGGCTACAAACTCGTCTGACAAATGCGATTCTTTCGGATCTGGCACACCCTTCTTTCTTTTATATTAAACTAGGTGTATATTTGCCTTTCTTAATGCCAGACTGGTATACAAAATATCATAAAAATAAACCAAGCATAATAAACCGTGCCAATAATCAAACCACATCAATTGCAGCGGGGTAAAAGCAGGAAATGCACACAATTGTTCACTCATGTCAACCAGCTGTATGAAAACAGCTTCCACTGCCTAAGCAAATAAGCAGTCTGTGAACTGGCGCTGGACAGAAGCCTTATCTGATGAGGTTCGAAGGGCTTGCCAAATATTTGGAAGAAGAAAACTCTCTTTTGGGGAAAAATGAGGCTGGGCGGAGGAGAGTTGATAAAGGTTATGGATTGTTCTGTGCTGCACACACAAAGTGGGGAAGGGAAAGTGGGGCCGCTGCCGTGCCTTCAAAGCTGGGAAGGAAATCCTGCCTTTTGATGACATCCTGCCTTTTGATTACAGTCAAATGCAGAGACCCATTCACCAAACAGATCTACAATCAGAGGGAGAGTTGGCTCCGCCGAGCCAAGGAACGAATTGAATACTGTCGGTGTGAGGACAATGGCATCTCCTGCCATGCGGTGCCCATCCGAGGTGAGTTCCGGGGGGGGGGCCTATAAGTCCAGCAGTGGCATTTATTTATTTGATGCATATCTCACCTTTATTTTGCACATAGTGCATGCATAATGCTCCATCCTCCTGTTTTCCTCACAAGGGCAACTCTATTGGGCTGAGAGCAAGGGTCTGGCCCAGTGTCTCCCAGGGTGCTTCCATGGCTCGTGGGGGTCTAGAACCCAGGTCTTCCTGCCCCTAGTCCAGCCCCTTCATCACTGTCCCACGCTGCCTCTTGGGCTGGGAGAGAGCTTCTGGGGCAGAGAGGGGAATAGGCCCTGGGTCTCCCTTCTCTTAATCCAACCCCTTCTCCACTACCTAACCTGGTTCTTGGACTGAGAGGGAGGGACTGGCCCAAGGTCACCCAGACAGCTTCTGTGCATAAGGGAGGATTAGAACCCCCAGTCTCCTGGTTCCTAGTCTACCACCTTAATCTCTACCCCAAACGAGTTCTCTCTCTAGAGAAGATTGAGAGGAGGTGGCAGAAGGAAGCCAGCTTGGCTATATAAAGGAATTACACAAGGAACCATTTGCACCAAGTCAGAATGCTGGATCAGCTGAGATGGGCCCACCCAATGCAGTTTAGCTGGAAGGGTGTTGGGCTGGGAGAAAGCCATGCCCAGCAGCTGTTCCTTGGAATCCTTCTGCTGGGGATGACCAGAAGCTGTACCTGGAAGCTTCTCTGCCTACAAAACCAGGCGTTCTGCCTCTGAGTCATGGTTCCCCTCCCTCCCCAAGGACTGGAAGAAAAGCAATGGGGTCGTGGAAGGGGGAAACTGAGCGGCTGTTGTTTTCTCTCCCACAGGCTGTATAAAGCCACTTTGCTTCAACGGGGGCCGCTGCCAGCAAGCCTTGTACTCGCCCAACTTTTTCATTTGCTTCTGCCCTCCAGGCTTCACGGGGAAGTACTGTGAAATTGGTGAGTATGTGACCGGAGGAGGAACTGAT